GGAGTAGCAGTACATTTGAAGCTGAACGTCATTTGTTCAAGGATGGTGGCACTTCCGTACGTAGTAGGTGCGCACGCAACAACACTATTAAAAGTGGAAAAAATTTTTTCCTTCTCATTTTTCGAAAATCACTCGTTTCTGAAAAATTCAGTTGCAGATTCTAAAAAAAACAGAAAAGAACCCGTTACATTCTCAGCATCTGTTAGAATACCACCCGTGCCCAAAAACTATGAGAGTGTCTTGCTGGGGGTGGCTGGTGTGTGACTGTGTGACTGCATCATTTAAAGGCTTGGGAATCTAACACCTGTGGCTCACGAATAGCTCTTCTGTTACCAATATTTTACATGATAATTTCTGACGGGTTTTCGGGGTTTTGCGGTATCTTACTTAATCGTCACTGCTGCTGTGCGGTAAAGAGTTTGTTGGCATTTCTTGTGTTCGTAGTGATTTTATGATCTTCCTGGTTCTTAACTTTTTCTGCCTATAAAGTTAGTTTTTTTTTCATTGTTTTATTAATTTAATTTTTTTTTAATCCAGAAGTAGCATTTCTCCGGAGGGAGGGTTGTTACAGGTTTTTCTGGAGATTTTCGGGTTTTATTTCAAAGTAGGGCTCATGGCGCGCTTATACCGGACGTTTATATGAAATTCAAGCTTGTTTCAGTTGGAAGTCGGTCGAAATGGTTAGTGCAGTGTCGCTTGTGTTTTTTAGCTCATCGCTCATTTTAGTTAGTAAGCAGAATTTTGTGATAGCTTCCTTACCAGCTTGCCTCTCGCTCAACTTCCTTTGTCTAAGGCAGCCAGTGCCTTTTTTTTTTTTAAGCCTTTATATAGCTGGGAATGAGTAGGATGCGTACGTAGCCGAGTTTTTACGGGAACTGAGGGACACTACTAGAAGTTTTGTTAAATCAATCTGATTTGAAAAAGTTTTTTCAATCAACTTGAAATCTTATGATGTGAACCATTATTCTTGGCTTCTGTCATCTTGCGTGGAGATGATATGGTCCAGTTCGGTAACAAATTGGTTGGCATGTGAAGAG